CCCCAAAATCCAAAAAAAAAAGAGGAGAAGACACCTGTTGAACAGTTACGCGACCAATGCTTTTTCTTATATCTAGAATAGTGATTGAGCTTCGCTTCCCTCCTTTTCCTATAGGTGGGAAAGTCTGCAAAAAAGATAGTAATACTCAAACGAAAAGATATATCTATCCAAAAATACAAATCAAAGAAAAATTATAGCCTTTCTAATTTGCATTATTTCCTACCTCCAACCGTTTGATCATCACTGGATTAAGCCCTGCAAGCATTTCCCGTGCAAATTCCTCATCGGTTTTCCATGCATATTCATCAGCTAAATTATTGCAGATAATCAGTAAGTGAAAAACTTCAAATGTAATGGAAAAATTATAGGTTTTCAGTTGAATAGAAGCCTGAATAAATTAAAAAAAAACCTTAACTTTGTGGCGTGTCCGCAAAATCACCCCAACTTTATAAATCATAGAAATTGGAAAATTATCTGAGCTTTTAAAGTTGTACTAAATCCCATGATCTATTGGCAATACTCCTAAACATCATAACAAGTAAAGCAAAATGTCTAAATTGCCATTTTCACATAGGAGTAACTGAGGCAAGATGCCCAGGGAAGAAATAGAATACAAAAGGTAAGAAGACGGGCATGAAAAAGAAAAAAACTAGTCCAAATTCTATTTAGTAAATGTAGAAATTAGAAAAAGGGTAGTTACAAATTATATTTAGTAAATAGAGGTAAATCATACAAAAGTCATCGCGTTCCCATCACATGACAACTTAAAGTACCTGCCTTAGTGAGACAAAGTCAGGGGGTTTCTATGATATATGAACTTCAGAGGTCATGTGCAAAAATCCGTCAATGTTCAGGGGGTTATAGTGAAATTTACCCAAGAAACTAACCTGCAATAACCTGTGGAACCGGAAACTTGACAGGATTGCCCTTCGTCATCCTTAAAACTTCTTTAAACAGTTCTTCAGGAAGAAAACTCTTCAACTTGTCCATCACTTTTCCTTCGAGGATATAGCTTCTTTTACCAGCATACAAGTCCTTTGTTACCTGCTCAAAAGATTCGAAGTTTCCATGGTCTCCTTGGAACAAAGATTTTACTTCTGGGATCACAAAGTGAAGTATTGCTTGAAGAGAGTTCGTAATGAACTCTGATAGCTTGCTCGGGCTGAAACGCTCATCGGGTGGCACATAGAAATCGAGGTTGATCAATTTGTGCCTAGTCTCTGTCATTCGATCTTTGATTGCAAAATTTTAGAGTTAGCTTAAGTTTGTAATTCTGTATGTATAATTAAGGGTTTTTTCATCTAGAAACCACCTTAAATATAGGGTCATCATAAGAAACCACCTTTAAATGTTAATTTGTACGTAAACCACTTTAAAGTTGGGTTTGGATTGCAATCAACTACCTCCCAGTCACAATTTTCAATGAAAACCCAAAATAATCTTACAAAACCCACATTCAAGACAAGTGACTCATTTTGTTAATGTTTAGGTCTAGTTTGGATATAAATCACATTCCTTAAACGTGCATTGTTTAAGGTTATTTTTGGCTTTTTAGTTAATTTTTGATTGGGAGGTGGTTGATTGGAGCAAAAACTCAATTTAAAGGTGGTTCACATATAAATTAAAATTAAAGATGGATTAGGTACAACTCTATGTTTAAGGCTGTTTCGAGGGGAAAAAACTATCATAGAACAGGCACAAGATATAACTACTATAGGCTATAGCAGGGTTATTCAACTAAAACAAGGAATCCTTTGATCCTGTGAAAGTCGCTGCAATACTCGCACTTACTCCATCCTTTATAATGATCCATACGTAGCTAAATTTATAAATTTATGAATATCACATTTTTTTTAATCTACAGTCTCACAAATTTATATATGGAATAGTTATATTCGAATTATTTGTTGACATTTCCAAATGATACAGTTAAATGTAGCATATTAGACCGGTTAGATCATATTTCACTCGCTGGTCAAATATATCAACTATAAAAACTTTTATATACTATAAAAAATTAGTTAAAGGCCAAATAAAATGAAAAAAGGTGAAAACAACATCTGATTAATATTTTTGTGCTTAGTCACTCATCTAATCTTCCTTTGCAAACTTTTACAGTGAGCTTGATCTTACAATTATGTATGCATTTAATAACAATTTGGTTGTCAATTAGGGTGACTTTTCGCAACGGTGTAAAAGCTGCAAGATAATTACTATAGGCTATAGCCTATTTATTCATAAAAAAACAAGTGAAATCATTACTTCATATTATGAAATCTGCCTTTTAGTGCAGCCTTCGACCTAACTCCAGCTTTTCTAAATAGCATTCCATAAAATTTTGATTATTTATACAACCTAAAAAAATCTATAGACTATATAGCTATGCTTGAAAATATCTGGTGACATCACCAAATGTCACAGTTACATCTTGTAACCATACCTTATAGATTTTGTGAATTACCTTTCAGGCATATTCAGGCTAAATCTGGCGTTTTAGAAGCATTATAAAGAATATTAACTATCAACTATTCTATCTGCTATGTTGTACAATGAGTATGCACCATCTGAAAGTTTATGATTTGAGATATGAACATGTTTAAAATTATACCTATACTAAGAGGACGTCCAGTTCTCCCTCGACGAGGGTATGGATATGCTCTAGAACCCCCTAGAACGGGTCTAACATGGTCTTCGCCCTTATCAGGAGCACCAAGATCATTGTAACGATCATAGTCATATATCCGATCCCATGCTTTCCTCTCTCCTCTTCCATTTCCTCTCAAACTGGCAAGCTCCTCTTGTCGCAGTGATCGCAGTGCTTCTGGTGTCTCGCTTGGTAGATAGCTCTGTAGATAAATGATTCACAAGTTAAGATAAACTTTTATGTTAATGAATAAAACATAATGTGATAAATGAGCAGGACCCCTGTACTATTACATAGTTGTGGATAGACCACCTGTATCATAGACTATAACCTGTATTCCGATACTGGATTAACCCAAAATCTTATACTGCTAGCTACCAGTCACAACTTTCAATTCAAGTCTATCACACTCTCCAACTGTTGACTATGAGATATAATGAGAAAGATTATTGCTTCACATTCTAAGGCAAATTTTTTATACTACTTTTGTGTCCTAGGTCACGATAACAAAACTCACCGTATTAGAAAAGAAGAGACGATCAACACTTGTCTTTTTCACCGGATACACCCATGAATTGCAATTAAAGTAGATACTCCCACCATCTTCTCCTTCCACCGTCACAAATTTCAGAAAGAACTCATTCTGATCCCCATTCTTTACAACAATTGCCCCTGGAACTCCAAATTCAGGCTCAATATGCAACAAAACATGATAGGTTATTGTGTTACTCTCTCCGTGTTTTGTGCTCTTCCCATTTTTAAAACTCGTCTCTTCGCTTAACTTGCCTTTACCTGTAGCTGATATGAGAAGAAGGGTTAATTGCGCATAGAACCCTTGTAGTTTTTAGCTGTTTTGTACTTACTTCCCCTGTAGTTTTATTATTGCAGATAGAACCCAAGGGTTAAACTTATTTGACTCTTTTGCCCTTGGTGAAATTTTGGCAGATATTGCCCGCTAAAATTAGTGAGCCTAAGGGTAAAAGTCAACCCGGGAGTCTATCTGCAGCAATGAAACAACAGGGGTAGTAAGTGCAAAACAACGATACTACAGGAGGTTTAGATGGACCAACTTGGTCAAGACTTTTCACAATTTATCATCTTTGAGATTATAACAATACAAATTCTTACTAGGATCAATTTGGGTTTTGCTATAGAGTTGGATGGTGCTCGACTTGCTCGGGCCTGACTTGATTGAGCTTCGAGCAACCACGATGGTTACCTTGGTCGTAGCTGACAGTTCTGGATGTCTAACTAAAGGATTTAGATGGAAACCAAGACATGTTGATTGGAGGAAAGCATGGAGCTTGGAACAATAATCTCGTTTATTTTCTTGAGCCATAAGAGGATGAATGAATGGTTTTGGTATTATGTTTTTTTGCCCAACTTGTGAAGTGTAGTTTGTGTTTACATATAGGAGGGAATAAAGGAATGATTGTTAAGGAAGAAACATAAGAATGTGCAAAAGATGGTTGAAGGCAGAATTGTGCTGGCTTAGGCTTTACCCTTGCATCTGATTCTGATACCTAGACTGTCAATGTTGGTAGAATCAAGCAAGAATTGTCCCTACAGTGGCATTGTTATGTCTAAGTTATTTATTTTGTAACTTTTTATATCTACGGCTTGTTTGAGTCAGGATTAATATTAGATTTCAGAGTGTGAGTTATATTAGAACATCACTGAGTGATCTATGCAGGAAAAATGTTTCAATAGGATTTGAATTTTTGCTAGAGGGCATCACATCATCTGTTTGAATCCTTTTCCATTAGATTTCTTTTAAGTTTGGTTTACAAAGGTCTTTTCAGGGTGCTCTTTAGCTGATATGAGGTTCCAAAGATGAATAGATATCCAAAATAAATATCATCGTGAAAACTCAAGTTATCTTACTAGTTGGGTAAAGTATTACTTTCCAGGGTGATGTTTATTTTGGATTCTCTAGTACAATGCCAGTTAATCAGTCTGTACTGACCTAGTTTAGTAGAACAAGCATTACTGTAGCAACTAATCCCCGTGACATTAAAATGGAGCATCTTCCACTAATCCTATACCATATATTACGAAAAGACCCCCTTTGCTTTTTGTGAGTCACATTTCAAATTAAGTACCGGAAATGCCCCAACACTTCGGAAAAAAACTAAGAAAATGCCTTAACAACAACAACAACATCAACAACAACGCTTCTATCCCAAATGTTTGCGGTTGGCTACATGAATCTTATTCTTCCATTCCGCTCTATTATGGGTCATCTCCTCTGTTAAGCTAAGCATAATCATGTTTGTCTTAATTGCTCCCAACCAAGTTTTTTTAGGTCTACCTCTAGATCTCTTTCCTACATAAATATAATATTATCAATTTTCCTAACCGGTGCACAAGAAAATACCTTAACACTGGGGAAAAAACTACAAAAATGCCATCGCATTGGGAAAAACTATGAAACGCCCTCACACTTAGAAACTTCAACATACATGTGTTCTCACTTGGAAAAAAACTCAAGAATATCTAATGAAATATACATTCCCTTGGTAATTCAACTACGACACTCCTCCATGTCCTATCATGCACGCATTGCGTGCACTGAGATACTAGTATCTAATAAATATAGTTATACATATGATGGCCTTTAGGACGTCCTTACGTTTTAGTTCCCCGATAGTCTTTCCCTTGACATGATAATGGCGGATTTGATCGTTATATCTAAGGTAAAGAAGGGTAACTATTATAAACCCCTAATTGTTTGACCATTTATGAGGAAATCCCCAATCCTCGGCTTTTATTGCGGAACATCTTTTCACTAACATGCTGTTTAGCTCCCTTCAATAAAGCATGTTTCAGTGACATACATGTTTGTTTTCCAAAACTACACTCTTCTTTCTCCTCTCAACATGATGAACCACCATCTTCTTCTTCCTTATAAAGCATGGAGACTTTGCTTTCATTAAGTTTTGCTCAATTTGTGCGTTATCCTACAATTGGCAACCAAAAAGTCACAACATGTTCTAATTACAAATAGTTAAGAGAACGCAAAACTTATGGTGCTTATGTTCATTGAAGCATTTCATCGAATAAATAATGTGTATGACTAACAAAAGTTCACGTCTTTGAGAACTAGAACAAATAATTTCTTTCACTATAACAGAAACACCTATCCATGACAAAGGAAGCATGAAAGTCTAACAAATGTTTCATGAAAGAACAAGTAAAGAAAATCTAACAAACAACAATTATTATCTCCGCAAGAAAATATACAAAACAAAAATTACACCAAACGATGTCAAAATCAAGGGTTTTGAAGAGATTACCTGGAACTTGACCGTGGTTGTGTTTCACAGCTGCTAATTAAAGAGGTGCATATATAATTTAACGGACAAAATTTCAAAACAGTTCTCTTTGGACTTTTAATCCCAAAAAAGACTTATTTCCAACTTATTTTCAGAAACCGACCTGGTTTCAGCCTCAGCGCTGAAATCGGGTCGGTTTCAGAAAAAAAAATTCTGAAATTTAGTAAGCTTTACTAAACTTCTCACGGGAGTTCAACTCCCATGAAGTTTCATAGTTCAAATTTTTTTTTCGAACTATGAAACTTCACGGGAGTTGAACTCCCGTGAGAAGTTTAGTAAAGCTTACTAATCTTCATGGGAGTTCAACTCCCGTGAAGTTTCAAAAAAAATTTCTTAGAAACCGACCCGGTTTCAGCGCTGAGGCTGAAACCAGGTCGGTTTCTAAAAATAAGTTGGAAATGAGTTTATTTTTTTTGCGATTATTATTGTAAACGGGATTGTTTTAAAATTTTGTCCATAATTTAACCACTTACATCGATGATCATATTTCTCATCAGCCAACGTCAGTAATGGCGCATCCGCTGAACTCTAACGCGATCATTTGGTTCAGAACCAACTGTCTCACATATTTGCTCCGCAGTGATGGATGGCTCCACGTTCCTCCTTAAGAGCTCATGAATCTCCACAGTTTCCAACACTTGCTAATGAAGAGTTAGGAAAGTTAGAATCAATAACAACTTGCATTAGATCTACGCATATTTCTTGGCGCTTGAGATATTTGGAGTTTGTTATTAATTGTTAAAATATAAAAATATTATTCTCAACTCTCACAACAATTCTAGAGTTTTGATGTAATAGTTAGCGAGATTTTAAGATTTTATCATAGTAACCCAACTTCAAATTTCACTACTCACGGAGTGTGTATTTCTAAAACGCACAAAAATATAAATTTGAGGTTAATTTTGATTATCAAGAGATCTAATATTTGCTTTTTTATATATAACGAATATATTAATGAACTCTATCGTATCATATGAATTGTATTTTTTCAAAATTATCTTGTTTTCTCATATTCTTTTTGTATCCACATGTATATCCACTT